TGCCCGCGCCGCTCGCTCGGTCGAAGGGAGAGGACGTCGGGAGGGTCGGAGGGAGGGAGAAAGTGAGGAATGACTGAGAAGAAACCCTAAGTCCTTGATTATATATGAGCCTGGTATAATGGATTTTGTTTGAGCCTGAGCTGGGCTTGATTTACCGAGGCGGTTGCGTTACAATGCCTGCCCGGTTAATGATTTACCGAGACGACTATGTTACAATGCCCGTCTTGGTTAATACTTATTTATTTTATAATAATCGCCTCGGTTAATACATTAACCGAGACAGTTGCTGACCCGGCTGCCCGGTCTCGAATAAACGAGGCGGGCAAGCGGACCGCTCATCTCCAAGGCCATTCTACAAACGCTGCAGAAAAGATTCTATTCCCTAGTGCGGGGGCCGCGCGCGGATGCGGATGGATCCATGTCCGCGGCGGCGGGCTGACGTCCAATGATCGGGATCGGTGCGTTCCGCCTGCCGGCGGTCGCTGCCGCGGTCCGTCTCACCCCTATTAGTCTATTACGGACGCCACACAGCCCCCCCCTCGCCGCTGGCCCACGTGAATGTCAACACCGTAGTAGCCTTGCCTTGTTCCGGTTGCCCGCGCGCGCACGTACCGGCCCGGCCGGCGGCATCTCCGTCGTCACCCAGCCGTCACTGACTCTAGATGTACTCCTACCTACTAGTAGTGACGTACACGCGCACGTAGGTACGTACGTACCCGAGGGTCGCCACGTGTACGGTCTACAAGTCGCTGTCCGTCTGGCTCGGTCTCGGCCCCCGAGTGAATGAAGAGCAGAAAGACGGAGTGTCTGAAGCGTGAACGATCCAGCGAGGGCAGCGTAATTGTATCTTTGCTTTTCTGGAGAGGAAGGAAAGTTGGAATATCGTGGGCGTGAGAGGGTTTAAGAAGATGGAGACGTGCGCAGATGCGCCACTGAAACGCCCGCGGACTACGTGACGGTTTCCACTGCGAAGTTCGAACCAGCGAGCGAGCCAGCCAGCCAGCCGTCGTGGATCGAGCCTCGGCCGGCCAACCTGTCGTTGCTAGTAGCACGTACTACTACTAGTAGTAATGCCAATCATCACCACAAGCTTCCAAACTGGTGCACCAGCAAAGAACCACCGAGAAGGAAAAGACCAGTTCAGGTGGGGCCGGACGGGATTCTGGAACGCCGTGTCCTGTCCTCCGCGTTCCCACCCGTGCTGACGGCGGAGGGTTCGCGGCTCGTCCTCGTCGCACCAATCCTTCCTCGGCATCGGCCACGGGGCCATGGGCGTACGTGGCAACTGTAGAGGGCAGCCTTAGTTTCCGTCATCCTTGCGTGCACTCACAGCTAACGGGTAAAGATGGCAACGGGCCCGATACCTAATATCCGACGGGTATTTGATACATTAGGGAATGGGGATGGGATCATATCTTTACTCACGCGGATATCTAAATAAATGAAGAATCCATCCCGGACGGGTATAAGCGGTCAGAACGCGTTCGCTGCTTACTCCGTCCCCTGCTGTTGGGGAACCCGACTATTTGAGTCGTCATCATAGTATTTAGGCCCAAAGAAGCTCAATATAGGTATTTTGGTCCAAATCAACAATCATATATATAGTTTGTGTGTTCTAGGAACCCTAGTTCAATTTTTCCTCACCATCTCCGCCAAAGACAGACAAGCACGCTTTTTTTCCTCGAGCGCGCTTCGTGCCCTCGCTTCATCGATTCGGTCTCTCTCGCAGCTTTGCTCGTTATCCTCGCAACCTCGCTCCTTCTTCGGCATCTCCGAGACTCACACTTATATACCGGGTGAAGAAGAAAGCGCTCCGATTGCAAAAAAACGACCCCAAGTGTCCTTGTTTATCGTTGTGCACGATGCCGTTGGGTATCGTTATCCGATCCGAATGGGCAAAAAATCTATACCCGAGACGGTTAACAGAGACAGGAACGGGATAAATTCTCCGTAGCGGGGAACATAATGTTCCGACGATACCCGACGGGTATATCCCCGTTGCCTTCTTTATAGCCGGGGCGTCGGAGGAGGAAGAGGCGGCAGCTGCATGGCATCGCGCGTTCCGCATCACCCGCCGTCTGGGTGGTAGCGCAATCATTTCGACCGGCGCCGCGCCGAACGCTACGCCCTGTGCGCGCGCATCCTTTTCCTTTTGATTCGATTTGATCGGTCCGGTGTCCGTCCTCCGCCACCACCTTTGAACGTCCACTGGTTGACGGTTTCACGCTTCTGCAGCTATATACTACTGCTAGTCTGCTACTGCCTGATCCCGACGACGGACGGGGCGGATATTTTTTTGGGCAACTTGCGTTGCGTTCGTGCGGCGGGGCGTTGACGAGTAGGAGTGGGGACCCTCCGCGGCTACTGCAGGTCTGCAGCAGCGTGCGGGTAAGGAAGGAGTCGGGTCATCGTGGACCTCGTCCCAGGACAAGTTTGACGTGTTGGATTTCTTTTGCTCTGTTTCCGTTTTCACCTCCGTCGACCCGTTCCTCTGCTGAGACCGGCGAGCTCCCCTGACCAGACTACTACCAGTACGCGAGAGGCGAGACATCCATTCAGCAGGGTCGTAGGGTACCAGCACCCCAACCACTCACCCGTTAATTAATTAACGAATTCTGTTCTCAGTTTCTCCAAGGCCAGACCTAGCTAGAACAACTCATAAACAAACAAAAACATCTCCGGGCGACTACCACGCGGACAACTAGCTATGCGGCGTACTAGTACGTCTGTATAGGGAGGCGATTCGCGTACTCGCTCGTACCCCCGGACCGGACCGGGCCGGGCCCCACGTCGACTCAGGGCCAGGCCAACAAACTGCACGTACTTGCGGGTGCGGCCATGTTAGGCTGCTTTTTCCTCTTATTAACGGAGTCTGTACCGACTACCAAAGCGGTACTGATTCTAAAAAAAACATGTTAGGCCTGAGCTGGCTCTGGCTGGGATCCACCCGAATCCGCTCCCTCAGTGGCCACGGCCATGCTGCACGACTCTAGCCTGGTCTAGCCAGTACGCCCCTTCACATGCGCCTCGAATCTAGCCTAGCTAGAATCGGGTACCACCTCGGCATGGTTCACTCGCACTCGGTGCCTTGTGACCAATGCGGTTACAAGCACACGCATCGGGTGTGAGCTGAGCTGTGTCAGACAGGTGTCGCGCTGCCGCTACCTGTGCCTGTGCCCATGCAGCACCATACTCGTAGCTAGCATGTTCAGTTTCGTCTTCAGTATAAATAAATAAAACAACGACAGGGAGACCGACTACCATGTCACACCATAGACCACCATACGCACAGTCTCAACATGCCAATGCCACCGCACCAAATGGAGCACCGGGAGAGTTTACCTCACGTGCCTATCGCGGTCTCAGCGATCAGCGATCACTGCACATCACGTCTCTCTCTCTCTCTCTGTTATGAGTGAGCAGACTGATTAGTTGACCGAGCAATCGAGCTACCCACTTATCAATGCACATGCATGGACATGTGAGTGAGTGCTCCAGCTGAAAACGATACCCAACAAAGCCCTATTGTTTCTGCTGCATCCGGTTCGCTTCTCTAAGTCGCTCCGCAGTCAGTACTCACCCATCACTGCCGTTTTGAGGACTCGCGCGATTCAGCACCTTGCCACAAGCAGAAATGCTCGTCACCTTCTGACGTACAGGCTTTGGTTCCAGAGCAAAGGGCAGATGAAATGCCACGGGCTATATAGGTACTTCTTCCTCTTTTTGTTACGTCTAACTTCAACTTCGTGGAGGAACAACTATGTGGGTAAAACGACTTGAAGCCACCCAGACAATTGGAGGAACTATGGGGGTATATATTCATTGAAAAGAAAATAGACATTTAAATTCGAGTTGAGAAGGACTTAGAATCCAAGAGCGTGTTTGGTGTTCTCGCCTGCTCACCTCGCCTGGTCTCACTCGGCAAGCCAGCGGCAGAGAGCGGTTCTGCCTCACCTAAATTGGCAATACAAATCCTTCACGGTACGAGAATCAAGAAAACGTACCGGACATATAATTTCTTGCCTAGCCTGGAAAAGCAAACAGAGACAAAATATCCAAACGCACCCTAGGTGATTGACCAAACTCCACACCTCCCATTTGATGTTGTACATGTGCAGGTATTTTTCATAAAACTTGGTCAAAAGTTAAAAAGAAAAGTTTATCGTGGAATAAAGCTGACGTTCCACAGTTAAAAACACATAATATGACAGGTTTGAGATTGTATTAAGCTCAAGTTTTAACATTCAATTGAGATTCTTGCTTTCAGGTTATAGATTTGCAGTTAGTGGTGGTTTGGCTGTTTGACCACAGCAACGATAGCTATCACTCAATAATAGTTCTCGACTTTCACAAAATTTTGGAACATCCTAGGATAAACTGTCGCTGTCAGGCTCACATCCTATTTAGTAAGTTATTAGCACCATGAAGTTCTTTGATAATACTGGACAAACGTGTTCCATTTCTCACTAAGCCGACTCAGGGGGCGACAAAAAAATGTAGCAATCATTGATTCGTGAAAAGTTGAAATGTAAACACACAATATCAAATTTTGATGTCATTCACGATCACAAGAGATGGTTTTCATGGGAACCTTGTCCAATGTGTTTCAACAAGGAGATGTTACAAGTCTAATATTCTGAGGCTGCTTTACATCATGCTGATCTCATGTAGAGGTGCAAAGAGTTGCAGAAATAACTTTTGGACACCCGATGCTTTACAAAAAGGATATAAGGTACACTTTTGATAGAAAGTTGGATACGAATGAACTCTTACAATGGAAACATAGTGAAAATAGTCCCTAACAAAATTTAGGCAGGGTATGTGCCGTATCGTTGTACCTTCTTTCCCAGAGCAAAATTCAATGCAATTGAGAAGCACATTGAGACATTCCAGCTTGGGTAATATGCACTTCTTGCTGGTACCCCATGCATTTTTACTGAACAAAACCGATATGTGGCAGGTATCAGCTTCAAGCATTCCTTTGTTTCAGGTTCACGGCATTACAACAGTGCTTCGAGGTCCATCTCAACGAAAGTACAGGGATCCGGAATGCCAAATTTCCTTAGCACCTGCAAGCAGAGTATGACTAGCACTCAAGGAATAGTGCTATAAATTTGGCAAAACAAATCACGTGTATCCATGTTATGATTTTCTTATTCTTAGATAATTTCATTTGTGTTCCTAAGTTCTTATTTCTGCGGGTACATCTCTTACTCTTAGTATAGATCAACTATGGAATTGGGGTAGCTCATAATTCAAGCGTATAAGATTGTGATACCTAACAAAAAGAAATATATAATATGGTGCTACCTTTATTCATTTCATCCTCAGAAATCTTCATTCATATGGCAGCTAAACTACTGGTACTTAAACAGCACAGGTTATAACAGCATTCAAAAGCGACGCAGAGTAAATACCTCAGCATGGACAATTCCTAAGTAGCCAACTTGCTTGCCATCACTTGTAACAATTTTACATTGCCTTTTCGGGAAGAACTCAGGTTCCTAAAGAAATGAAATCAGTATACAAATGTTGACAACAGCAAAAGACAAGACAATTCATGAAGTTACTCTTACATCTGTAGGTACATAGTAATTCTCGCCAAAGTTGACATGCGGAGCTCTGACAACTTTGACAATACTATCCACCAATCCCATAATTTCCTGGACAATTTAATCAAGTTAGCATAGGCCTACATAGAAGCTATGTAAATACATGCCTATACAGATGTTTTTTTTTCCTTAAGCTTATACCTCAAATCCAGAAACCCTATTGCAGTACAAAGCAGCAAGCCTGACGATTATTAGAGGCACCAACATCACGTGACGAGTCCAGCATCACAACATCACCAACTTCAAAAATCTACAATGGTAAATATTTGAAAGATCAAAATCATGGGAACATTTCCATCTAGAAGGAAGATCGTAACCATGCAACAGTAACTGTTTGGGCATATATCCAACACTAGAAGCTGTATTAAAGCTCTTCCATTTAAAATTGATTAATGTATTGATAAATTAAAGTCGATATGGGTAAAAATGAAGGACTAGATAGTTACTTTCTCTAATTCCAAAATCCATTAGAACATTGACACATGGTCTCCAATGACACTTTGACTCTCAATGACACTTTGACAGGTAATATTCTAAACAACATATTCCAAATAGAAAGAGCTATATATTATAAAAAGTATTTTTTAACTAATCTGTAACACCCGGTTTTAAGGACAAAGCCGAATGCACACCATATGTGAGCCTTGGTAATCAAACCTCACATATAGCTACAAATGAAGGGGCAGTATCAATTCACAATGCTTAATATATCGCGAACTTAGCAAAAGAGATAACCTTATAAAGCAATCAACGGATAGACAACTCTGATCTCCGGGTGCAGACTTCACTCCACTGGATCCAACTGACTGGTTGATCACAAGCCTAACTTCTCAAGTCTCTGACAAACTGTTATCCGGCCTCAGGTGTGGGGGAAATCGCAAGAGTGAGTCCATGTCGAACTCCGCAAATATAGCAACAAGGTAGTGTATTCCATAACCACATGATCAAGTATAATTGAATAATAAATATCTTAAACAATTGACATAAATGATCATCTTAACCAGTAAAAGTCATCATCCCTTATGTAAGTGTTCCAAGGCCGCTCGTATCCGTGAGCATGGCTAGTATACCAGTTTATTAAACTTTGCGCAGAGGTGTACACTTTCACTGTTAGTCGTGAATTGCCCTTTCGCCCGAGGTCGCGAGCCTCTTAACCCTCTACCAAGGAAGGCCGGCAGGGTTCACTATGAAGCCTTTCAAAGGTTCCGTCTAACCGGGAAGGGCCGCAGGGTCATCGGATATAGGAACCCCCCTTCCAAAAAAATAAAATAAAAGGCCGCTTCCATAGCTAGGCTCAACAGGACAGAGGCTGTCCTATACCCAACTCGCAGTATCCTCTAAGCCGGTTAGAAAAAGACCTCATACTGAGCTAAAGCCAGAGCCATATAGCTCTCACAGCTGTACTGTAAGTCCCGGATGATCAGTTACAAGACAAGTCCTTATGTTGCTAAAAAGTCATCTTGTTTATGTTTATAGCATATTCATTAATCAAGTTTCAAGATCATGGTCACAGAAAGAAAACCCAAGCTATACTTGCCTTAAACTTGCTTTACACCCAAAGCATCTTGCTTCAAGAAGCTTCACTCTATCTTCCATTCGGCAACTTTTGGTCTTCAGCGTTCACAGACGATTCTTGTTCTACTCGTAGCAAGCACCACGCATAGACAAACATACAAGCAAACAAATACAGACAACTAAGAACAATACATCACACGAGAGAAAACATCGTACTAAAAGATAACTAAATGCTACGGTCACTAGATCACAAGAAACATCGGTTACACAACTATCGTCAAAAGAAACGACTACCAGAGTTTTATTTTAGTATCAAAGAAAAGAAAAACCTCTACATGCTTGATTTATTTTAATTACAAAAACCATGAGGAACCTAATAATCCAGATTAGTCCAATTATGTCTTATAATTCTCAAAGACGAGTTATCTAATTATATCTTACCTTATATATTTTATCACATAATCTATTGAACAAGTTAAACTTTATCTTTGTAAAACAAATACGTGAGGACATCTAAATTAGTTTTATCTGACCACGTTTAGCTTTAAGAAATTTACGATTATAAAATATATTGAAGTTGCCATTAATCTAATCAATATTTATTTGTAAAAGAAACATCATATAATAACCTATATTGTTTTTAATTATATAACTAATAACATTTAATCAATTTGGTATTTAACTATATATGGAAGAACAAGCCGAAAAGCTACGGCATGAACATGCTAACTTTAGAAGAATTTTCAGCGAGTGAAAGTACATATTCGATAAGTCAAGTTTATATTTGAATAAAGAAAACTAAAGTATAATTAATTATATTTTAATTATAAGCACGTGATCAAATTATTAAACTTTAACTTAGTGAAAGACGAGTGCACGTGAAAATATCCAAACGAATATGATATGTCCATGTTTAGCATAGGCATAATATACTGAAACACATTTAATTTGACTTTAATCAAGTTAACAGTTAAATATAAAATGATCGACCTCGCCCTAAATTGCTTTTATTTAGAAACATGTTTGCATAATCATTAGCCAATTTAATATTTAAATAAATATATTACAAAAGCATGTGGCACATAAACATCGACACGTAGACCACGTCGGCTCAAAGCTAAGCTACTAGAATGGACGTCTCACGATGAGTGTTTATATTTATGTGTATTTCTATAGTATTTCTAGATTTATTCTCGTAATGAAAAATGGCCACAAAACATACATGATGTCATCAAGCTAATCGGATCAGCTACGAACATGCCGAGCATGCACGGTGCTGCCATGCGCCATGGCCGGTGATGGAGCCTCGATGATACAAGCCTCGGATTGCTGCGTTAAAAAAACATAGGGATGGAGCAGCATGTGCATTTCGTCACCACAAGGAATTTTGACGATCTGGAACGAACAACGATGGCGTGGTGCTCGGAGGGATGACGGCGGCTTCTTGCATGGGTTCTCCAGATGAAAAGCAAAACGAAGAACTCGGCGACAAGGAAGCGCGTCAGCTCAAAGACTGACTTCGGTGAGGCACGATCTGGCTTCGGTAGATAGCCCGGCAAGCGCATGCAGCCAAGCGGCAAGGCGATGAAGATGATGGGCGGCAGCTAGATCGAAATTGATTGGCTTAGGTTTGGGATTTTAGAAAAGAAACGATGACACAGCCTGCTATTTATATAGAATAAAGATGGCATATGAGAAACGTCGTTAGAGTCCTTGATGTACACGACTTACAACTTAGTCATCGGATGATCCAAGGAAAGAGAACTAGTCGGCTACAAGAAAAACCATCATCCAAATTAAGAAAGACAAAAGGATGGGTGCTTCCTTAAAAGATCATTTTTTTATATTATATTATACCATCACGTTAAGGAAAGAAATGCAAGGAGCATAAAAATAGAATTGATAGGAGATGGATTAGCGAGCCGAGACAATTTCGATGATGAAAAAAAACAGACATACCGGAGAAGGAAGGTCGATTTACCAAACACGCTTTTGAAAACTTTGCTCACTCTCAACATGAAGTCACACAACACGCATACATCACAATAAAAATATATGCACCAGCATGTATGCACAACCATGTTGCTAAGCCTATGATACATTTTAATTTAGAGAAAAATATTAGTTTGCCTATATTTCATGAGCACAAAAATACAAAATAAATCATTTTTACTCTATTTCTAAAAGTGCAAAATTTGGGGTGTTACATAATCTAGCAACATAAAACTTATTTTACCAATCTACTTGATTTTTTAGATATTCATTGTCTATGTTTAAAAGGTTTGATCAAGAAATCCTAAATGGGGTTATACTATGGTTGAAATGTAGTCTTTGAAGGAGAGTATTATGATGCAATCACAATTAAGTTGGAAGGGAAAGGAAAACAATAGGCAAAATGACACTGCTGACAGCAAGAGAAATTTGAAGTTTTTTTTTTCTGGTTTCTTCTTTATTTAGTTGGCATTTTATGTGTGACACAACATTGAACATTCCATAGACAATATCCTTATCACTTATATAGCAAATATAAATATTGCTTCTTTTCAAAAAGTACCTTTATAGGTCTTGAATGGTCTATATTATGTTTCAGTGTTTTCAATAAACATGACATCAGACTAGTTCTAACAACCTGCAAGGTAACAAGGAAAAAAATGATTATAACAAACCAACAAGATAACAAGTAAAAGAATGATTATAGCAAATGAATGCCATTGTAAAACAATGTTTATTTCCTTAGCAATCAAATATGGAGAGAAAACATGAGTTGTCAGAAGGTGGACATTAGGTCAGACCAAATCAATGGGTTCGGTTCATCGATTTTCCTCAAATTCAGGTATCAAAAACTGGGTACTGATTGGTTCCTAAAAATTATCAAGATGAAGCAAATTTGTTCTCAGTTAGTTCGGTTTGGTCTGGGCCATGACTGAACTAACCAAGCTAGCAATACACATATCGAAAAATAAATCACAAAATCACCTATGTAATATAATGGTAGATTTTGTAAGTGAACACAAATGAGCATGATGAAACACAGATCAACAAAGGGTGAAGCATAAATCATCTGCCGACAGCAGGGAGGAGCTGTTGCCGTCAGCTAGGTTTGACATCGGGTGGCTGCCTCGGCCAGCGGCAGCTAGACGTGATCACTGGCATGGTCCTCGGGGACTGGGGAGGAGGTCGCCAACCGTCGCTGCAGCTCAGAGGGCAACCTCATCTCCCTGGTCAGCCGCCTATCAACAGCTCTACATATGTGAGAGAAGTCGCGGGCCACAGGCAGGAGAAGGCGGACCCGCTGAGGCACTACCGAGTGGTCAAGTCAGGAGGAGGGGGGCGTAGCCATGCAGGCGCCTCTGACTCATCGCTATGTGCCACGATGCTAGAGAGGACAGGTGGGGTGCTGTGGGTGACCAGGAGGAAATGGACGGATTGGGGGCAGGTGGTGAGGAATCAGAGTGAGATATCTCTTATATAGAGAGGGTTGGGAAGGGTTATTGGGCTAGGCCAAATGTATTACTCAGCTTCTATGTGCAGTGCTGTTTTTTTCAGGTTCTTCAGTTACCGGGTTAAGACCGAATAAACCGGGACTTTCATTTAGTTAGTTCTTGAGGCTGAATTGGGGCAGGGGCAGACCCAGTGCCGGAGGCTCCCACATGAGTGGGGTCTGGGGAAGGAAAAACCGAGGCAAGCCTTCCACCCGCAAAATTTGCGGAGAAGATGCTTCGAACCCACGACCTGGTGACTCAGTGAGACAGCTCTCACAACTGCACCAGGCATGCCCTTAAAAAAAAAAAACAGTTTCTGTCATTTCGGATTCGGCTGGGTTAGTTCGGTTCTGTTTCTCAGGTTTGGTTAATTATGCCCGTCCCTAGTTGCCCTGTGTAGAACATGCAGAACTAAAACGAATGATAAGGCTGAGAAGTCAGATAAGGAGGAATAGTCAAAAGTCAAATGATAGGATTACAAGAATGTACGGCTAATTACACCTAGAAGTCATATAATAACAGAAAACGGAGAATCATGATACACCAGCAAGATGCATCAGTAAATAAACTCAGCAAAGATGATTATCCTGCAATTAGTTTATGAATTAACTTTTTTTGTTTTGCAAGAAAGGCATCAATCAGCCAAAAATTTACACTATTCTTTGCACTATAGTCAATTGAGAGCAGATAGGAGAGCTGACTGATGGCTGCACCCAGCACTGGGGTGGGTGACAATAAAATCGGGGAAAATTTACCTCGAATTCAGAAGTGCGAGGGTTTGCGATAATGACTGCTTTACTTCTGTCATCTGCTCTGTTTCACATGTCAAAGTTTTCTTCGTGTGAAGACAAGATAAATGTGAGCACCTCCATATAACCAGCTCTTGCAACCTGGCCACAAAGGATTTTTCAGTAAAGATCAACTGATGAACAGATAAAAACACAAGAAAAGGAAACACAAAGACATCAAATATCAGCAAGATGCCACAAAGACATATCAAATACCTAAAGTACCTCAGCACGAATTTTATCTGAGAACCTGTTTAATGGTTGCCTTCCTCCTATTTTCATACACTTCGGCTTTGATTTTGGCACATTGTTGAATCCATAAGCTATAGCAACGTCCTTTGTAGAAGCCAAACAGAAATTAAACCAGTTAACAATGACAGCAAGCAAATACCTACAAAAACAGTTGAAACAGCTAGATAATAGCAGATATACCTCCGACAAATCACAGGCATGCAGAATATCACTTCTTGTTGGAGGAACAGACACTGAAATGCGAGGCTCCCCCTTCAATGAGTGACTTTCAGCTTGAAGTTGCATTTTATTCAAAAGACAGACAACCTACAGTTTCAGATGCACAGTTATTAATCCAGATTGAAAACATCCTTGCTAAAACTTTCAGGAACTTGCAGGTACCTGCTTCTCGTCCTGGGAGATGCCAATAGGCCCAAGAATGTCAGATAATGAAACATCCATTTTGTAACATGAAAGATCAGGGTAAACTGTTTTCCTGCCATCATGATGCACCACTTCAACACGTTCCACTTCAAATTTAATCTCACAATACTCAGAGAACATGGTAACCTAGAAATATAAGTAATAAGCACATCAATACAATAAGTTTCAATTTCTTAAACTAGAGCACATGTTCCCATCTAAAATACAGCATAACATCACCCACCATTGTATTCAGCACTATATTTGCTTTGGTAAGGTCAGTAGCTGTACATTCAATAAAGACATTCCTTGTTGCAAGGGTGATAGCTGAATGTGCACCATTGATGATAGGAGGTAATGATAATACAGTCCTGCAAAGTATTGCAATGTCAGCTGTGCAGCGACACCAGTATTAACAGTTTCTATATCATAAACGTTAAAGAAAGCATGGCACTTGCGTTAAAAAAAAGAAAAAGAAAGCATGGCACTCATGACGGAACATGGGCCACTTTATCAGTAAAATGAATATATTTAAGAGAACAGCTTTTCATTGAATAATGAACAATGTTTTTTGAAGGTTAACTAGATAGACAAATTTCCAGAGAGCTGTGCCAACAGAATCTTTTGATTTAATTATTGTTGTCCTCTCTAGTAATTATTAGTCTTTTTCGGAAAGATCATAGGCCTTGAAAGAAAGAGGTCAACAAATGAAAGCCTCCGAGGGGTCTGCCATTTTTAACTAGATAGACAAATTTCATAGAGAACTGTGCCAATAGAATCTTTCGATTTAATTATTGTTGTCCTCTCTAGAAGGGCGGTTCTGTGCAAGCGGTAAGAACTTCTTCAGTTTCATGTCCCGACTGCCACAAAGCAAGAGATCCCAGTAATAAAAATATACAGGTAAGGCTTGCAGAGCACCTTCCCGGAATAGTATTAAGAGAGCTCTAGAACCTATGATATTAAGCTTTTTGTCTCTCTAAAAATTATTAGTCTTTTCCATCCTGATCATTGGCCTTGAAAGAAAGAGGTCAACAAATGAAATGATAAGAGCATGTCATTATTTTACCTGTTGAATTCATCAGATAACTGGGTACACTGGAGAATTCTCAATTATATGCAAAACTTTGAGTTTCATGTCTGAAAATGCCACAAAGCAAGAGATGCTTAATAAAAATTAATGATGACAGAGCACCTAAAAGAATAGTATTAAAATCATCTGAACCTAAATCAATTACTTTTAAAACTTGAAAAATGGGACAAAGTTGATTTCCTGATACATGGCCCAATTTAGTGAGAGGAAAACAAATCAAATCTGATGTATAAAGGATTACTTTAGAATTCCATCAGTTTATCAGCTCTGAAGCTTTTCTCCTGAATCATACAAAAGTTTGAACAGTGAGTCCAAAAATGTTGCCTTCCCAGCAACTTACTAAAAATTGAATGATGATCAGAAAACAAGTGATATAACATAAAAATCATCTGATTGAACTAAATCAATTACTTTTACCTGCTTTAATGGGACAAAGTTGATTTCATGTGGTGGTAGAGCCTAGGGAGAGGGAAAAAAAATCAAATGTCAGATATAAAGGATGAGAGAAACCACCAGTGGTATTTATATAGCCACATGTCAGCAATGGTTATATCTTTGGTTAACAACAAAAAATGTTACATTTAAGAGGCTTGTTCATATATGCATGGTACGAAATATAACCTAGTCAACCAATTCCTAAGAAATCGATCCGCCAAAAATATTGACCAACGTAAATAAATTATTCAGCTGTAAGCTAGTTATAATGCCGCAAATCTCAAGTTAAAACTGTTTAAGGTTCGTCCATGCTAGAAGCTAAATAATAGTTTCTTTATAATAGTTGGTTTGGATATTCAGACTGCAGTATACACCGATGGTTATTACTTTTCCTAGTCAAAAGGTTATTAAAATAACAATTTCTTATCACTTTTATGTGAAAGACTAGTTTACTTTCATGTATACATGCTGTCATGCAATCTGAAGAAATATAAGTCGTCCGACTGATCGCGATTAGTCGCGATTAATCGACCTAGTCGGTCTCTGGAGGTTGATCAGGGTTACCGAGGCGACTAGCTCGACTAGAAACCTAGTCGTCCGACTAGTCGTCACCTAATCGCGATTAGTCGTCTGACTAGGAATGGGAGGACCGGGCTGGATCCTGTGACTGGCAACCCTATTCACGGGTCTGCTCAACTGGGCATAGAGGTGTGCTATTGGGCTGCCAATTTGACCTGTTAGGTTAGCATAAGTGTGTCCAGACTCCACCAAAAACACAGAGAATAAAGTTAGCACTGATTTCCTTCTCCCACGCTGCCGCAATTCCTCCCCCACGCGCCATTCTTCATCTCCTGCGCACTATTCTTTGTCCAACACCGTTCCTGCAGTGAAGCCACCACCCTTCTACGTGATGACTCCGCCGATTGTGAGTGTGCCCTTTCCCTTCTCCCCTATTTCTCACTCCACAGCGCTAATGCTGCCTCCTTGCTTGCTTGCTGCGCTGCTGCCCCTCTGCTAGTCTGATTGCTTGCTCTGCTGCCCCTCTGCTACTCTGCCTGCTTGCTGGTACTTCATCCTAAGGTGCTGTGGTGCTGTACTGCTATTGTGTATATGTGCAGATGTGGAACATTGCAGAAATGAACTAGACAATAATGTAGTCTTGATGCTTGCTTTATTGTGTATACTATATAGTATATATATTAAGTATGTTCTGAAATTTATAGGATGACTATATGGACGACTAGGACCCTGACTAGGCTCGATTAATCGATCTAGTTGACGACTAATCGCGATTAGTCACCTAGTCGGTCCCATGGTGACTAGGTTCGACTATACGATCTGTAAACTTCCTCCAAATTGTCTTCTCGGTAAGCTGGCCAAGATGAGTTTTCTATTATCCATACAAAAAGGGCTTGAAGCCGACTTTTGATTAAAATTCGAGAACAATACACGTCTTTGACTAGTGTCACTAAAACTCAGATTTTATGGCCATAAATGCTTCCTGAAGCCCCACTGTAAACAAATTCAGTGGAGCACTATCTCACTGATCCACTCCCGATCCCCGATGAGAAATCTGCCCCAACAAGGCAGCAAAACAAGGACTTCGTAGATGAAGCAAGACTCTAATCTCATAGACTAAATGACGACAACTGGCTTATAGCTCTCTTCCCTGTCCTCCCCTGAGAGGAGCTTGTTTAGTTCCCTTCTCCATTTGTTCTCGTTTTTAGCTTCGTCCTTTTGTTCAAGTACTTGTGCCTCTGTTATTTTAATAAAATTTGCAGTAGGAGCCTCCACTGCTGTGTTTCCTTTTAAAAAAGGCAGAAAAACAAAATAAGATTTTATTGATTTAGGCTTTTGAGAGACCTTATTATGTTAACTGTGACTGGTGAAAAAAAGGATGGCTCTTTTCTGCAACTAAAATAAGATCATAAGAACACATTTTACAGTCCAAGATTTACTCTAAAATTCCCCCCAAGAAGGAAACACACTTGGCGAAGTTTAATCTGCCCAATGACTTTAGACAAACTCAAATTTCGCAAAATAAGATTCAAAACCAGTGGAAGGGAGCTTCTACACCTCAATGGAGAAAGAATAAAATCAACCAAACAGGCACCAACATGTCCATGCATTTATCTTTCCATACGATGGTATAAAAGTAATTGCAGTTAGTTCCCTTGATAGTGCAAGGCCGCAAGCACATATCATGAGACATAATCATTTGCCCCATCAAAAGGGGGAAAATTGGATGCACATAAAAACCATGGAACACATAATAAACATAGGAACAGTGTGCAAGTCCATGACGGAGATTGCCATGAATGCAGGGCGAATAGGATACTACCCAAGATTGAGCTACAAAATTAGCTTATTGCAGCACTGGGATAATTTTACCTCATATGAGAAGGGTCCTTGCAGAGTGTCCAGATCATGGGTGCCAATAGCAACGAGAGTTCTCTTCCTGTTATCCATCATGGAGTAGTCTTGAGTTAATTAATCATTGTATTGGTACGATCCTGATATCAATACAATGAAATGCAAAAGGCAATAAGATAAGCTATACCGGCAGATATTTTGGTGGAGTTTGTCTTGAAGATCAATGAAGCTGTTGTATCTTGCTTCATCAAAGGTTACCCCTCTTAGGACAGCACAAACTACATATGGCCTAATTTTTGAAGTCTGAAAAAAAACAGCAAATCAAGGCTTCATTGGAAGAAAATAAGAAAATAAATAATACCATTCTGGAGAATACGATCAGCATCAACATTAGCAAATACAACACTAATCCATTAATACATAGCTTCTAGATTTAGTAATAACGGGCAAATATCAAAATCATGAATATGTTAATGTCTTAACATTTAGCACCAGCTTCAAGCTATAATCGTTTTCACGACAATAATAAAACATTACAAAGAGCATGCACCAAAAAAAAATATACATATTTAATGGCATGGAAAATGTCAGTAGGGTATTGCTTCTTTTTTTCCTTCAAAAAAGACAGTTTGACACATCATTTCTCCATTACTCCAGAGACATAACATTCCATATACAATCCAAAAACCAAAAAAGAATCAACTGGTTCAAGAGCATTGCCAGGTTATAACATACACCAAACAGTGCTGCTGTACAGTTTTCTCTACAACCTAGAGATGGAAAACTGAAGGAATCTAGCTTTTTCTTCTAGGAAATTATTCGAAATGCACTGCGAGTCCAAAGAACATGAACTTACCTCTGGTTTAACATGCATCTGAAGAATTGAACCACGAGGGATGGATGAAACTTGGAATACAGGGCTTGCTTCAGTCCCCGTGAAAACAAGGAGAGCTCTTGCTAATCCTTCAAGACATAGCAAATCATACCTGCAAACATTGTTGCAAGTTTTCACCGGGTTTCCAAAATCCGGTATACCTACCTAGTATTCTAGTAACATCGATTCCATTGACGAAAACAAAATCTGCTGATCTGTTGGCGGCAACCTCTATCTTGTAGATGACCTCGTCATCGTCGTCCACCTCGCCGTCGTCCTCAGGTGCTTCTCCTTCCTGATAATAGCCTTCTCCGTCGTCTGCACACGCAGACCCCAAAACACTCAAAATTCAGACAACGCCACTCTCAGCACAGTGAGTGAATGGGAGGGGATACGGCGAAGAGAGATGCTCACCACGTCGTCGAGCTCGATGCCGAACTCGAAGCAGAGCGCCTCGAACTCCTCCTGTGTTGTTGCCAGGAGGATGGGTTACGAGTTGTCAGTTGCCGCGGAGGGGAGAGCTGGGGTTTTGGGGGAGGAACTGAGCAAAGGAATACAAACTTACTGTAGTCCGACCAAGGGCGGCGAAGAGACGGTCCCGGCCGACGCTCACCGTCGGCATCGCGGCTGCGGCGGCGGAGGAGACGGTCGATGGGAACGAAATCGTCACTTCGCCCGGGGTTGCCCAACAACGAACAAGAAGCCTATTGTTTTTTTGTAATACATGGGTCCAACAACGATGCCCAACAACGTCATGTTTTCATTCACTTTTGTGTGGTTGAGGTTGTTTGTAGATTCGTGCCGTTTTTAACAGGCTCATTTTTTGTAATACATGGGTCCAATTCAATCCGTCACATGTTGCGAGCTGGCGATCATGTGTTATTTCAGTGCCGCTTTAATCTTCTTGACGATTTAATATTGTTTTTATTCTGCTGCTCGATTCAGAGTTTCAGACACACCTTGTGCTCATCGGAAGAGAGACGGTCCGCTTGGTGCTTGGCGGAGGCGGAGGCGGAGCCGCGGAGGTGTCGGCGTCGGGCGTTGCCGTCGCCGTTGACGTTAGGACTATGTTTCACTCGTCGTCTTCGTCGCTTACTGAAGCTGAGGGAAGGTGGATGAGTTGGACTAGGTGGCCGTTGACGTTAGGACTATGCTGTCATCCGTATCTCCCAGGTGATTTTGGATTTCATTTGTTTTGCTTCGTCAACAAATTTTGTGTGCGCGGACGTTTGGGGGCAAAGGGTGTATCAAGCGAAGGTGGATGCGTTGGACTAGGTGGCCAGCAAGTAGTGGGCGTGAGGAGAGGAGGAGCGTGTCAGCCTACCTGATGAAGTTGGAGCGCAGGCTGTTGGAGAGGTTCCGGGAGCCGTGCTCTGCTCTCCAGCGACTTGCTTTTTTGTTTATTGCGTGCAGTAGCTTGAGCTCCGAAGGCATCACCATGTGATTTTTGATTCGTTGTGTTCGCGCACATTGAGGAATTAAACAACTGCACTTAAACTGATGTAATGCACAAAAGGTGATTCTGATAAAGTATTAGTGAGCAGTGATTGGAATCCTGCTAAGGCCCATTCGGTTTTGCAAGAACGACTCCCATGAAGAATTCCGGTCGGGAATTGTTATTTAATTTATATAAGCTTTTGTTAACCGGAATGATTCCTAGCGCCGATCTGTTGTAACCAAATGAGCCCTAAGTGGTCTGAGTCAACTTGCACACTGCCTATATTAAGATTACCTTTCAGTATGTTTGTTAGTAGATAAGTTCATTAATTTGAGTTTATTTCCTTTCAGTATGTTTGTTAGTTTTAGTTTTTTTTTTCAGTATATATTGTTATTTTTTATATTGAGTAATATGCTGTTATTCAGTTTGTTCTTTTCAAGTTATTTTAGTTTAAGTCATTTCAGTATTTCAGCACATATTGTTAATTTTTTTAGTTGTTACCTTTTGCATGTTGTAATTGTATGTTTCAAGCAATATTGTTGTACTATCAATTTAAGTTTCAGTTAATCTGATTTTTACAAACTTTTTTTCAATTTTAATGTTTTCATTAGTTTTAGTTTCTTGAGTTCATTAGAAATTCTATTTCAGTTTTGATGCTTCCATTAGTTTCAGTTGAATGAGTTCAAAGATTCAGTGTTTCAGGTTCGGATGGCTTCATAAATCCTAGATATTAGTTGTTCTTTAGGAATACCTACTTTCATTTAGTGGATTAGTTGTTGTTTGTTCTTTTTAAGTTATTTTAGTTTAAGTCATTTCAGTATTTCAGCACATATTGTTAATTTTTTTAGTTGTTACCATTTGCATGTTGTAATTGTATGTTTCAAGCAATATTGTTGTACTGTCAATTTAAGTTTCAGTTAATCTGATTTTTACAAACTCTTTTTCAATTTTAATGTTTTCATTAGTTTTAGTTTCTTGAGTTCATTAGAAACTCTATTTCAGTTTTGATGCTTCCATTAGTTTCAGTTGAATGGGTTCAAAGATCCAGTGTTTCAGGTTCCGATGGCTTCATAAATCCTAGATATTAGTTGTTCTTTAGGAATACCTACTTTCATTTAGTGGATTAGTTGTTGTTTGTTCTTTTTAAGTTATTTTAGTTTAAATCATTTCAGTATTTCAGCACATATTGTTAATTTTTTTAGTTGTTACCTTTTGCATGTTGTAATTGTATGTTTCAGCAATATTGTTGTACTGTCAATTTAAGTTTCAGTTAATCTGATTTTTACAAACTCTTTTTCAATGTTAATGTTTTCATTAGTTTTAGTTTCTTGAGTTCATTAGAAACTCTATTTCAGTTTTGATGCTTCCATTAGTTTCAGTTGAATGAGTTCAAAGATTCGGTGTTTCAGGTTCCGATGGTTTCATAAATCCTAGATATTAGTTGTTCTTTAGGAATACCTACTTTCATTTAGTGGATTAGTTGTTGTTTGCATATTATTCATTTCGAGTTTGAGGTCATCAGTGTTTCAGATTGCCCTTCATGGTTCAGATGGCTACCTACTTGAATCAAAGATATTAGTTATTCTTCATTATTAAGTGTTTTCAGTTTTTGTGGATTCATTGTTGTAGTAATATTATATCCCTATTATTTATTTCCCCTTCCGTTATGGGGGAGCCTTGATCTGTTCTTTGGTGACCCCGATCAATTGTTTCAGTGCTTTGGCACGGTATCTCCGATTTATCTTTTTTTGTTTGTTTTTTCCTTGGTGGCCAAGCCTCCAGGCATGAGGAGGAGGTGCGTGAGGGGGTAAGGTCCAATCTGATTTTTAGAAACTTTGTTTTAGTGCGATGTTTTCACTAGCTTGTAGTTCTTTTGTCATTTTTCCTCTATTGATTTTTTTTTTGGTTTTGCTTAGTTTATTTTTTATTTTCTTTTAACTCCTCCGTCTATACTTGGCAAAGAACTTGCACTTGGTCTTGGTCAGGCACTTAGCTCTAGGTCAGTTTCTGAAGCTCATCTTTTTTTCACGTGAGATTCCCCTGAGGGTTGTTGCTGCATGCACGTGAGCAGGAGGTTGCCAATTGGATAAGATCTGGGTGATGTTTGTTGGAATTTCAATCACTTTTTATTGTTTTGTGTCACTGTAAATTCTGAGTGAATTCTTTTCCCTTTATCTATCAGATTCTGATTAGGTTTTAGAACCTATGTGTCATGAAATGATTGGACACGACTGAAACAAAATCAACCGAAAGATGTCCACTTTTATTATTACCAACGAGTCCGTGATAATTGAATTGAACGCAAAGCTGAAAGCCCGAAACATGTTTCATCTCGAATCTCTATGACCGATCACCCTACTAGAACGTACAGCAGCGACCTGCGGTTGACGCACGGATGGCGTGCAGTCACTCGTAGACGACGGCGCAGTCGTCGGCGGTGGGGTTGTGCGCGCAGAAGTGCTCGAGCGGGTCGCCGGGGGCCTCGGCGATGCGGCGCCTGAGGTCGGCCCTGGCCTGGCTCACCTCCTCCACCTCGTCCCACGCCACGCGGCACCCTCGTCATCCTGCCCGCGCTCCCCGCACACCTCCATCGCCTCCGCCACCTTCCGTTCCACCAGCTCCGCCAGCGCCGCCTCCCTCCTCACCGTCCCCTTGTACCGCCGCCTCGCCGCTGCCGCCATCACCAGTCGCCTCGCCTGCTGCTGCTGGTGGTGGCGGCGGCGCCACGGGTGGACGGAGGACGGCGATCGGCGCAAGCCGGCTCCCGCGGGGAGAGCCGTCGAGGAGGAGGGGCAGCCGATGGATGGCGACGCCATTGTTGTTGATTACTGATTGCCTGATTGGCAGCAGTAAGATTTGTCTGAAGAGGTTTATTTTTTCCTTTTTTTTGAAAACGATTTGTCTGAACGAGTTGGGAGGACTAATCGAGGAAAACGCAGAGCCACTTCTTCTGAGTTCACAAAGAGCATTTGGCTTCTCTAACTCGTTCATACAGTCATGCTTATCCTTTCGGACTAGTATTTTCTTTAACGATTCGAGAAAAGCTGGAAATGTTTTTCTTGGAAAACAATCGAAATGATGAAAACGGAATGCATTCTTCTAACAGTGTATTAGGTTTTGGCCAAACATGCGTATTTTATTTACAAGCATGTCACATGTATATGCTGTAAATGCAGGTTTTGGCCAAACATGCGTATTTTTTTTTAGCCCGTTTGGTTTCTCCAGTAGCTCCTAATTCATGTCACATCAAACATGTAGACACATACAAGAAGTATTAAATATAAATTAATTACGAAACTAATTACACAACTTGTGACTAATTTGCGAGACGAATCTTTTAAGCCTAATTAGTTCATGATTTAACAACGTGGTGCTACAGTAAATATGTGCTAATGACGGATTAATTAGATTTAAAAAATTTGTCTCGCAAATTAGCCTCCATCTATGTAATTTGTTTTGTAATTAATCTATATTTAATACTCCTTATTAGTATCTAAATATTCGATGTGACATAAATTTTATGAGCGACTAAAAAACCAAACACCCCTTTATTTACAAGCATGTCACATGTATATGTTGTAAAGGCAGATATCCGCTTCTTCAGATAACATGAGATGCATGGACAAATCTTCATTTTCCTATGTGGGCTCTTCTAGAAGCAAAGGGAGCAAAACCCAGGGATAAAAAAAACCCCACTAAAGCTTGATTTGGAAGCAAAGGGTAGGTAACCAGGGGCATAATCCCTGACGGGGGATTTTGAGGGCACTTCGTTTCCCCATGGAGGCAATCCATGAAGTGTTGTTCTCCCATGTCGCCCTTTGGGAAACAGGGGTAGATCACGAGGGAGCTGGTGGAGGAAGTCCTCACGGACAAGGAAGCAGAGGCGACGCAAGACCGGGCGACCTGAAGAACAGAAATGGAGGCAGCGATGGACGATGCGAGGAAGAGAAACAGAGGCAGCGACGAGCGAGGGGAGCGCTTCCCGGCCTATTGGGTCGTGGATTTCTCCCCCGTGGAAAGTAGAGGGAATTGGGCTCCAAAACTCCGTCACTCGGGCTTCCAAATGCTACGACAATCTGCCACGGGGGAGGATGGCCCGTGGACTCGTGGCCCCGGAAAAAGGGTGGGGTCCCGTGGGAACCCGACTGCCAAAGTAGCCCTAAGAACTAGAATGATAATTAGAATGATATCCCCATAGATTACCCACCACGATAAAAGTCTGGGATCCCGGAGGGATTGGAGTTTCCAAATTAGGCTTGAGGGCTCTTTTGGAAGCAAGGGAGAGCAAAACCCAGGGATGAAAAACCCCCTCACTAAGAACTAGAATGATAATTAGAATGATATCCTCATGGATTACCTGTTAGAATTTATATGGATAAAATTCCCTAAATGCATATGAAGAAATTCTAATAAATCTCAAATGCCCAATATATGTGTTCCATAATGGGCTTTATTGTTTAAGTCCATGAGTAGAGGTGGAAGATGCGACGCCAATTAATACTATATTGCTAGTTGATGTGGAGGTAGGGAGTTCTCGTCCCTATATATATGTACCAATCCTCCTGGAAAAAGACACAACAACAATAGAATTATCATTGGATGTTCCTAGTTTGGAAAATCCTAAGATAGTTAATTAGTGTTTTTCACTTCTCACTACTGCATTGCCTTCTAAGTTTCTTGTTCCCGATCCTCTACGCGCACGGAGAGTTGGTAGAGCAGGTGAAAGCTCTAGTTTGGTTTTGGTGAATTGATGAAACCCTAAGTGCTAACCTAGTTTATCAAGTGATCATGATATAGGTAGCACACTCCAAGTGGTGAAGCAAATGAAGATCATAACATGATGATTGTGATGCCATGGTGATGATCAAGTGCTCAGACTTGAAAAAATAAGAAAGAGAAAAACAAAAAGCTCAAAGTAAAGGTATAAACCATAGGAGCTATTTTGTTTTGGTGATCAAGACACTTAGAGAGTGTGATCACATTTAGTATCGATAGCCATACTATTAAGAGGGGTGAAACTCGTATCGGAATACGGTTATCAAAGTACCACTAGATGCTCTAACTCATTGCATATGCATTTAGGATCTAGTGGAGAACTATCATCCTTGAAAATGTTTGTGAAAATATGCTAACACATGTGCACAAGGTGATACACTTGGTGGTTGGCACATTTGAGCAAAGGTGAAGAAGTTAGAAGTGAAATGGAGTTGGTCGCAGTGATGCTGGCGTCGGTCAACTGACCGGACGCTGGGTTGCTCTGCGACCGGACGCTGAAAGGCTGCGTCCGATCGAGTGGTCGATCGGCACAGTGGTTAGGGTTAAGCACCGGACGCTGGGCTGTGTCCGATCAAGCATGACCGGACGCGTCCGGTCGGCAAAAACTGGTTTTGGACCCTTACTGTAAATGATCGGACGCTGAGGGTTCAGCGTCCGGTCAGTTCTGTCGGAGCGTCCGGTCAGCTTGTCGACCGTTGAGATCAAACGTTCACTATTGAACGCAGGAGACACGTGGCCACCATCGGGCGACCGGACGGTCAGTAGGACCGGAGCATCCGGTCACCCCGATCAGTGCCCAGTGAAGGGGTACAACGGCTCTATTTCGTGAGGGCTTCTATTTAAGCCCCATGGCTGGCTCAAGTTCACTCTCTTGGCCATTTGCATTGACATAGCAACCTTGTGAGCTTAGCCAAAGCCCTCCCACTCATTTGCATCATAGATTAAACATCTTTGTGAGATTGGGAGTGATCCAAGTGCATTGCTTGAGTGATTGCATCTAGAGGCACTTGGTGATTGTGTTTCGCTGTGGATTTCGTTTGTTACTCTTGGTAGTTGCCACCACCTAGACGGCTTGGAGTAGCGAGGATCGTTGAGCGGAGGGTGGTGATTGTCTCCAGCTCCGATCGTGGTGATTGTGAGGGGTTCTTGACCTTTCCTCGGTGGAGCGCCAAAAGGTACTCTAGTGGATTGCTTGTGGCTTGTGTGATCCTCATCTTGTGTTGGTTGTGCGGCACCCTATTGAGGGTTTGGCGTGTGAGGCCAATTAGCGCGTGAACCTTGAAGTGAGTGAATCACCACAACGAGAACTAGCTTGCTGGCAAGCAAGTGAATCTCGGTAAAAATCATTGTGTTCATCATATTGATTCCGAGGTGATTGGTCTTCATTGTTATCCACACTTGTGATTGATTGGTTCATACATCTACACGACGGTATAACCTTCTTACCTACTCCTTACCTTACCGCAAACTAGTTGTCAAGCTCTTTAGTGTAGTTAGTTGTGAGAGCTTGTTTGCTTGGTTGGTGTGGCTCTTTAGTTAGCCTTTGAGAGCACACTAACATAGAGTAGTGTCATAGCTATTGTGTGATTAGATACTATCTAAACTAGAATTGCGGTAGGCGGCTTGCATTTTAAGTAGGCTAGCGCAACACTTATTTCGCCTCATAATTGTCTAACCATTTTGATTAAGTGTTGTTGTAGAAATTTTATTAGGCTATTCACCCCCTCTAGCCATTAGGACCTTTCAAGTGGTATCGGAGCCGAGGTCACCATGATTTGAGGCTTAACAACCTTCGGTGTAAAAATGGCTCAAATCAACAACACCAAGAAGCCACCCCAATTTGATGGCATAAATTATCCTTATTGAAAGTCAAAGATGACTACACATATCAAGTCAATCAATAGAAAGGTGTGGAAGGTGGTAGAAACCAAAATTGAGATTGAAGATCCGGAGAATCCCACCTCAGCCGAAGAAGTGCTTCTCCAAAACAATAATATTGCTCTAAGTGTCATTCATGATGCAATTGATGAGAGAACATTTGAGTAAATCAAGAATATTAAGATGGCTCATGAGGCTTGAAAGAAGTTGGAAGAATCATTTGAGGACACTCAAGCCGTGAAGGGTGCAAAGGCATACATTCTCAAAGAGAAGTTTGCAAGCTTTAAGATGAAGGAGGATGAGAGTATGCCGGAGATGTTCCATAGGCTTCAAGTGCTTGTCAATGATCTCAAAGCACTTGGAGAAGAGGTTAAGGACAAGAACTTCTCCCATAAGTTCTTGAGATGCTTGCCTTCAAGATTTGGCACATTGGTCACTATTCTAGTGAGGAGTGGTTTGGACACCATGATACCAAACCAAGTGTTGGGAGATATAATGACCAATGACACATATAAAGATGATGATGAGAAGGAAGAAAAGAAGGAGAAGAAAGATGAGAAGAAGGATGAGAAGAAGAAGAGCGTGGCATTCAAAGCCACATCATCCAAGGGCAAAGCCAAGCAAGAAACATCAAGTGAAGAAGATGATTCATGGGATGATGATGATGATGAGAAGATGGCTCTCTTTATCAAGAGATTTGGCAAGTTCATGGTGAAAAAGGGCCATCGTGCTAGAAGAAAGAAGTCTTCATCCAAGAACAAGGAAGAGTCAAGAAGATGTTTCAAGTGTGGAAGCAAAGATCATCTTGTTGCTCAATGTCCATACAATAGCGACAATGATGATGACAACAAGAAGAACAAGAAGAATGATAAGAAGGAAAAGAAAGAGAAGGACAAGATGGCCTTCAAGAAGAAGAAGGGTGGTTCATATGTGGTCACTTGGAATAGTGATGCTTCCTCAAGTGATGATGATGATGATAGTGATGATCACAAGACCACCAAGAAGAAGGTTCTAGCAAGCATTGCCATCAATGAAAAGCCTTCTCTCTTCGACTCTTCATCATGCTTCATGGCTAAGGCCACTAAGGTACAAACTTGTGATGATAAAAGTGATGAAGAACATGATGATGATAATGAAAATGAAAATGAAAATGATAGTGATA